GACCTGCACGACCTCTGAATGCGTGCTGCTGCTTTTCGAGTCTACGGTAGAGCAAGCCTTCTAGCATAACCCCATGTATACCTTGTACAAACCTTATTGTAGGGGATTCAGACGAACGAAGCGCGGAACCTAAGATCTAGGAACTCCTTGAACAAATCGAAACTTGTTTAGTAATAGGGATACACGTAGAGAGCAGAATACCTGATAAAATCTCCCTTCACATACCCTTCAGAACACCTACAATACATTGTGGGACAACCCGTAGAATACCTTTTGGACTACCTTACAGATTACTTTACACAATTCTCCAGATATAGTCTACATATACCTTATAGAACACCATTTGGAATACCCTGTAGAATACCTTGTAGAAGGCCGCCTATACCCCATGTATACCGTATATATGCCATATAGAACGCCTATACAATACCTTATGGGACACCCTTTTATAAGCCCCTACAGAATACCCTATAGAGTGCGCTGAAGCCCAGCATTGGGAGCCCAAGATCTGATAAGCCTCAGTTGAATTGTAGCGTGTTGAGTAAACCTTATAACTGCCTTCCAGAATACCACCTCTATATAAATACCTTAGAGAAGTCACCGCAATTTCATGAAAACTTACCATAATCTATGAAATTCCGGTTTCCTTAAAGACTACCCTATAGCCTATAGAACAGCGTACGTTGTAGAATACCTTCCAAAATATAGGCTATATAGAATGCCTTTTGTACAATATGTTTTGGAGTACCCTACAGAATACCTTAGAGAATGCCCGATCGAATACCACCTGGAATACCCTGTACTAGAATACCTTACAGAAGACCGCCTATGTAATTTACCCTCTGTATACCTTAGATATACCAAATATACCTTATAGAATACCCTAAAGCATACCCTATAGATAACAGTTCAAATAAGGAGAACCAGGAGGAGACCAAAATCTGCGAATTCACCCAATAAACTGTAGCATATAGAATAAGGTATTTGTAAGAAACACACCGTGAATCTCGGAGCATTGCCTATAGAATACCTTGCAGAATACCCTTTCTACAAACCTGAGAGACATTGTTATAAACTACGGTAGTAGCTTATAGAACACCCCCTATGTACTGTTGTATACGTTATGGAACAGCCTGTAGCCTATCTGGCACGATACAACTTAAATTTCTCTTGGAATACATTCCATATATAACATATATATATATATGCACCCTATAGAATATCGTATATAATGCCTTATGGAATACGCCATAGAATAACCGGTAGAGTGAGCGATAGAATATTATGTTATAAGCTGATCCTGTATATCCTTCCTAGAATACTACTTTATAGAAAACTACTTTATAGAATACCTCATCTATACGATACCCCATGCATAGCTTCTATATACCCTATATGAAATTTGGCGTTATCGAACCGCCTTTCGCTGTCCTCATTTTCGGAAAACTCAGCGGCTCTATTGCATCATGTTTCTGAAGGATAGAAGAGTCGTACCTGTGCAGGACCGAAAAACCAAAACAAAACAGCCAAAAATCAGGACCCTGTTCAACACATAGGGCTGGATGTTTTGTTGCTTGTGGTTTTTGATTCTGTTGCAGTTTAGTGTTTGTGGTCTTTTTGGTTTTTGTTTTTTGTCTTGTTTAGTTGTTGTTGGCTTTGTTTACGGCCCTTCCAGACACAGGCTTGAATCTCAACTGTTTCAATGTTGTTATGCTTCACGCGCTCCGAGTAGATCTACTGTCTCCGAACATAGTGTGCTGTAGCTTATAACCCCTTCCCCCACGCGTTTATACATATCTATGCATAGAGACATGTAACTAGCTGACACGGGTCAATACAGAATATAGGACTGAAACATCGAGAAGTGTGGGTCAAAAGGGGGGTTGCCATACATAAAGAATATATATATATATATGTACATACATTCGTGTTTGTATTTACATACTTGTATGTATATTTATGTGGCCAGAACCAGGTCTTAGCAGCTCTTAAGTAGAACTGCGCAGGGACTTGATATCTTGCCCCCAGAAGCTCGCCGCATGATAGAAAGTCCTGCAACCCTGTAGAGCCCTCATAAAGGAAAACCCTGAGTTTGGAGTAGTGGTCTGGCTAGATCAGATGATGAGGAGCCAGAAATCACGTTGGAATATCACTACAAGGCCAAGTCATCCTGCAATAATGCAGCTAAAGGACATCAGCTTTGGTCTCTTCAGGCCGAGACAAGCCATGTGCCTGGTGTGGGTCGTTTGGGCTTGGGTCCAGGATCTCGAATTGAAATATGTTCAAGGCTTGTGTGTGGAGACTAGACTACTTCTTTCATTCGGTTGGCCCAGTTAATGGTCAAACAAGTATCTTGGGTGCTCTTTACTACCCTGCTGAAATTATAACTTTTAGTACACCGAATATCAAGAAGGCTAATCCTAAAAGTGATAAAGCTATGAAGTGACTGTAAAGTTCAACCAAGAGTATGACTATGGCTCTGTAGATCCTCCTAGGGCTCCGGGTTATTCGGATTGCGATGCCTTTAGATGCTTGGGTTTAGGGTTCGGGGTTTAGGGTTCAGGGGTTCAAGGTTTAGGGTTTAGGGTTTTTTTGCCATGTCGAAAACTGAATGCTTTGCACGAAAAGCAGTCGCCACTAGTCCCGGTACATGTAGAGTTTATTTAGGGTGTTTAGGGGATGCAATGGGTTTCGGGGTGGTCCCACCAAATTCTGCTGGGTCTTCAATAGTCTCGGGACTTGTACCCTAAAGCCTAAACCCTAAACCGATGCTCCATCAACGACCTTACATCGAGTTGAGCCGAAGCCCCCAAACCATGAACCATGATGCTAAGCCCCCAATCGCAATCTACTCCCCTTACCATCACCAAATGGGAGTTTCCATTTGGGGGTCCTTATAATAAGGATCCTACTATTTAGGGTACTATATTAGAGTCCCCTATTTTCGGAAACTCCCAAATAACTGGAGAGGCCGTCAGTTAATGTCATTTCAAAACTCTCCTATACCGTGCAGGCTAGAGTGAACCGCGCGAGACCTTGAAGCCACAACTTGCGAACACAAGGACTTTCGAAGAACTTACAGTTCCTCCTCATATTCATTCTGATTGAGGAGGCATGAGCCCAACAACCAGGTCGTAAGTGTACTACCAGTCAAGCTGTATTACAATATGCTTGCGCCTACGAGCCCCTAACGTGCCTCGAGATCCTCAGGAACGCCCCCCCCCCCCAGACCCGAAAATCCATATTGCTGGCTTACTTGGAGTTGCAGGGCACTTGCAGCAAAGTCTTAGACTTATATATATAAATAAATAAATAAATAAAAATATATATATATATATATGAGCATACATGCATATAGATCCGCACAGATACATACACGTAGAGGTTCGGCGATTTCGGGCTGAAGGATTTGGGCCGCAGAAGTTGTGGGCTTTGGTGCTTCGGTTTGAAGGGCTTCGGTTGAAGCCTATAAGGAATCTACCTCAAATTTTAGCAGCTTTTAGCAAGGGTCCTTTAGACAACCGAACCTCAGTTCAGGGTCTCGGGCTTTCGGTACGGCGAATCTGGGCTTTGCCTGAAAATTCTGCCAGAATATGAGGCATAGAAAAAACCATCGCTCACACCACTACACTCAGCTCATGGGGGATACGCTCCTTGCAACATGCAACATGATAGTGACATTCAAACCGGAGGCCCATGCCACACCTCTCCGTCCCACGCGTACCCGGAGAGGCTAATGGCCCTATTAATTCAGGAATATGCCTCAATGCAGTTATGGCTTCTTCTTACGACGCAGGAATATATACCTTAAATTGCGAGGGTACTGGGCCCTGTGGGTAAGGGCTTTGGTGTGTTAGAGTCCACACTCCCAGATGCAGTCGAGTGTCAGCACAGCCGACTGCGTCCAGCCTCTGTTTGTGTTGCCTCCAAGCGGATGAGCGAAGATTTGATTAAACACAAGCCACCAAGCAATGAATACGGCTGTATGGAGTCTCAAGTAACCCTATAATCACCCTTCACACTAATCCTAAAAACCGTTGGGTGCTGGAAAGCTAAGTCACCGTCATCGTTGTAGTGGAACTCTGTGGGAAAGCCAGTGTCCCATGATCTTCTTTGACACCACTGCCTGAGCCATGCGCAGAGTTTAAGGGATCAAGGGCCTGGGGCTTGAGGACTTTACACGGTCCTCAAGCGTCTTGCAATGGAAGCAACATAATCAAAAGATCAAGTTAAGGTACATACCTGCGTTTTATCCCTATATTCTGACCACTCTCAATCGGCCCCTCAGATAACAAGAAGCCGCTAGACGGCTTTGTCTCACAAGAACCCTGAGAACCGATGCCACAAACCCTGACCGAACTCCACACCCGTGGAACCCTCCACCCAACACCGCACACATGCTAACCTAAAACCCAAAATGCCGAAACCTGTAGACCCCATAAACATCCTGCACCCCGAGAGCCCAGACCTCCTCGAGGGGAAGAACAAATGTCAAGAATTTCAGAAACCTCTGATGCCCTAATTATGAAAAATATTCTGTCATTCAACACCCTTGACCAAAACAGTGGACAACAGGATTTGTGATATATAAAGTGATCTCGAGAGCACATATGCCGACTCGTTGAATACATCAGGTGGGTAACCCTAAACCCTAAACCCCAAACCCTAAACCCTAAAGGTCTAGGTGAACGTGCCATGACCATGGTTTTGGGCCAGGGTTTGGGGAAGCTAGAGGGGTTTAGGGTTTAGGGTTTAGGGTTCAGGATTTAGGGTTTAGGGTTTAGGGTTTTTTTTTGTTAGGGTTTAGGGTTTAGGGTTTAGGATTTAGAGGGCCTTTGAAAAAACGTATACGGCATTGAGGATTATGTCTCAGTGGCCACAGCAAGATCTGGGCTACCCAATCCCTGAATCCTTACCTCCCATTGAACCACAGGATTTTCCGAAGCAGTGACTATTTTGCGAACTGAGACACATTCGCATGAACATGCCGTAACCGAATCAATTCTAAACCCCATCTTGACATCCAAAACAGAAGCCAGCGTCGATGCTTCCACGTTCAAGGCGGTAAGATTCAGCTCCTTCGGAATGTGGTGCCTTGGAGAGAAACTGTGGCGAACCACAAACAGCAGGTCTAAAGCTTTCGGGGCTAGTCAATTTCTTTGAGCTTCCTTAATTAAATTATGGGTTTCAGGGAGCGGTGAAGGTGCGGCAAAGGGGCTTGTAACGGATTAGCATGGGGCGCTTCCGGCTCACGACAACAAAACCCCTACGTCCCGTGATCCTGGAAGCCAGCGTGTCTCAAGCTAAGAGAAAAACTTCCAAAACCGCAACCAAAACACGAAACACACACACACACACACAGACAGACACAGACACACACACACAGACACAGACACAGACACAGACACAGACACAGACACAGACACAGACACTTGCAGAACGCCTGATACTGGGCCAAGAGACACCATCATCTTGTATTCAAAGTGGACCACCTCGGGCTCGAAGCACAGGAGGCCCAGTTCCTTTCAGGAGGCTGTTGTTGAGCTTAGGGACCCAAAAAAGCACATAAGCAAAAACTAGGATAGAGATATCCCATATAAATCCTCTTATAATGAAGCCCAGTAAGGTAGGGATATCCCTATAAAATGCTTATGCTTACGTCCTTTTTGGGTTCCTAATAGCTGCTTCCGGGTATGGGGTTGTGGGCCACGGGTGATTTTTCTTCTGTCTACCATCGTCATCACCATCATCAGCGCTGCTCTTGATACCCGTACCATGCATGCTGCAACAAATGTAGATATTTCCTATGCTAGTAGGGCTGCCGGGCAACCATTTGCATTTCGCCATTACTAACCCTGCAACCTTCGGGGTGAGCCTTGATCATCATCTTTAGGATTCAAAGCTGCAATGCTACATTGTACAAAACGAATCTATATATCGACTCTTTTGTTTGCATTGCCTCAAGCAGAACTGGTCACATGCTGACAGTATTCTTATCGACAACAACTCGCGTTGTTGTTCGTGCTTATGCTTAACGGTTTTCGTTACTGTTTCACAAGTCGTTGTGCTCACACTGGTTGTCGTTGTTGTTGTGCTCACCTGGTGATAGCAACTTGGTGAGGTAGTGTTTTGCAGAAATCCTCTCAAAGAGATGATTCGTGTCCGTACCTGGGAAGGGTTTATGGCAAAGACTGCACATCTTCTGTAAACATTGAGCCAATATCGCTTTGCATCATGCACCGATGTGAAACCCTGATAAAGGGTGTCTTTAACCTGTGGCGGAGTTGGAGGGTTTAGAGAATTTAGACTCTGGGGGCTACTATGTCACCAGCAAGTTGCGCCCAACGCGATGCCAGCAGCAAGGTGACGGCTGCGACAAGCCTTTTGTGCCTGCAAGCTTTGAGACATGGTGGGGCTGCTGGTGGTGGTGGAGGTGTTGATAATGTGGGTGATGGTGTGTTCCTTGTTCTGGTTGTTGGCATTATTGCTGTTGTTGGTGGTGGTGGTGTAGGTATTGCCATTATTTGTTCTGATTATGTTGCTGATGTCGCTGCTGCTGGAGCTGTGGCTGTCGCTGTCGCTGTTGCTTTTGGTGGCGATGCTGTGTTTCTTCGTCTTCGTCTTCTTGTTCGTGTTGTTCCGTGTTTGTCTGCTTCTTGTCTCGTTTTTATTCTGTGGTTGTTGCTGCTGCTGCTGCTGCTGCTGCTGCTGCCCTCGGTCTTGCTCCCGCCCGGACCCTTGCCCTCACTCTGGCTCTCAGTACTGCTGGTCTTGCTAATGCTGCTGATGTAGTTACGTTGCCGCCGCTGTCGTCATCGAAGCAAGAAGAAACCCAACTCCAACAGCAAGCGCATCCACAACAGCTCCAGCTGTTGCAAAACAAAGATAGCACCAATCGCGAAAACCAAACCCCTGTCAAGACTATCACGTAGTAGCAATAAGTGTGACGATAGGCGATGCTCATGCGGTTGCTCGCTTGATGATGGTGATGATGAGGATGATGATGATGATGGTGATGATGCTGATGATGATGATGGTAATGATCATTGTGATGGTGATTATCATGGTGATTCGAGTGTTTGTAAGAAGTGACGTGAGTGCCAGATTCCATAGCTGATCGCTGATGACCATGACCATGATGAATAGGATGATTACAAGCTGATGCAAACTGATCATGAATACGATGAAGGTGATGGCTATGGTGATAATGCTGATGGTGATAGCAATGCTGTCAATGAGCGCTACGCTGAGGATGGCGGGTGACGGTGATGCTGACGGTGATGGCGGTGCTGCTGATGATGATGTGGGTGATGGCAATGATGATGTGATGCTAATGACTGTTGTGGATGTGACGGTGATTGCAGCTGTGGCACTGGCCAGACAATTGGCAAAACCAGCACCACGATTATGACGATGTTGCGACTGTTTTTTCCGATGGGACTGCGGGAACTGTTGGTGATGCTAACCATAGCGTAGCCATAGCGACACAACTTCAAGTCAAACCACCTAGAACTGTACTAGACTTAGAAGAACATGCATGCGGTCACACCCTGAGGCCGTAAATCGCCCAAGTACTACTGAAGAAGTCATCGGGACACGGAGGCACCCCGAAGTACTTCCGTTGCCTTTGTCCGAGAAGTGACAAATCCGGCACCGCGTTGTGTTTTAAAGTGTCCAAGATGCTTTGGGCCTAAAGTGTTTGGGTTTTAGTGCTTGCGTGTCCAAGGTGTGTTTGGCCGAAGGTGTAGGGGTTTCGGACTTCAAAGTTTGAAGCGTAGCAATCTTGGGCTTCGAGGTTAACGAGTCGGGGGTTAAGGGTTTTGGGGCTGTGAAGTGCGTGGGGTTTGGGGGTTAGGAGTTTTACAGCTAACATCCCGCTCCTGGCCAATGATCACAAAGGCTTTGGGGACGTTGTTGTCAGGGAAGAATGTGTCAATCTGCCTGGATTCAGAGCTTGGGGCAGGCAATCCAGAGGAGCCCACTGAGCAAATGTACACATACACCTGGAGGTGAAAGAACCCGAAACCGAACGTCCTTAACTACTTTACGACTTCAAGGGTCAATTGGGCTACACCCTCTGTTCCGCATTCGAGGGCTACGGTTCCACTAGACTGCAGCATATGCGAAGCCCAAACCGTGAACCCGAAATCTAAAAACTAAACCAAACACCCTGTCGTCCCTAAAGTTTGGACATTGTGCTGCTACTTTTTATGTGCATGCACATAAAAAGCCTGGACATTGTGCTGCTACTTTTTATGTGCATGCACATAAAAAGTAGCAGCAAAATGACCAAGCACCCTGTCGTCCCTAAAGCCGGTTCCACTAAAACGTCAAGCCTTGTAGCTCTCGACACAAGCCCTGTGGCGGAGATAGTATATCTAAGGGCAGAAGTATGGGCCCCTAATATATAGTAGGTGTATCAGGATCCCAGGGTTAAGGGCCCATACTAGGGGCCCATGGGTTCAACCTTAGAGTACAGCTGTTGCAACCTCCAGCCTTCAGCACGGTTTAGGGTTTAGGGTTTAGGGTTTAGGGTTTAGGGAATTAGGACCTATGATCGTTCAGGAGACGGTTTAGGGTTTAGGGTTTAGTTCGGATGAGATGTCAGGCCGCGGCCGTCGGTTGAAGAGCTTCGGGCTTGTAGCTTCCATTCGACATTGAAAGTATAGCTTTTGGGGTTTAGTACGGCTGAGGTTGACACATATGCAAGTACGTAGCGATGCCAAGCAAAAACCACATAAATGCCACCATAACTGTCCAAACACGCATACATACATATGTATATATATATATATATATACACACACACGCCAACACAGGTTCAAACATACCCTCACGTACAGGTAGGTCGGTCTTTCTGCTCATATGCAGGGGGATCGCACACAAAGACGTGCCGGCAAGATATACAAACAGTTATAAGATGGAGCAAGGCAAATAAAGCGACGTATGCGCATGTGCATGTATGCATGGAAGTACATGCGCGAACGCGCAGGTGTGCGTGCCGAAATGAATGCTCACACGTTACGAGTGCATAAACGCGAAGGTGCTAGGAAGTATGCATCTCGTGCATTCATGCGAGTATGTTCCTTCAGATAAGTCCTCTGAAACGACAAATTGTAAACTGCAAGCAGTAAATCTGATCATCACCCGGAACTCTATCCACAAATCTCCTAACTTACCAAACCTGCCCGAACTTAACAGCCGCCGCTTTGAAAAAGCCCGGATTTGAAGCCTGTTCAGGGCCATATGTAGATTTAGGGCATAGGACTGCAGGGGTATTTGGAGCCTCGAAACCTTCCCCCTGATTCAGAATAGGCTTTAAAGGGCAGGGGTGATTTCAGGATAATTCGCCCCGATGCGTTTTATTGTTCGGGGGGTATTTAATAAACGCGGGAAGGGATTAAAGCCTTACTCAAACCCTATAGATTTACAGCCTTGTACTCCGAGACCCAACACACACACACACATATATATATATATATATATATGTATATATATATATATATGTATATGGCAAGGTAAGGCCAAGCGTCTCGTTGGGGAAATGTTTCATGGCGGTACCACGAAGACAGTTCATGGTGAAGGCTTCTTTCAGAATGGCCCTCGGACACCGGAAAGCTCGCTATTCTGGCAGATCACTTTGCTGTGTAATGATTGCTGATATGGTTTCTATTTGCTCACCTAGTGATTACTTCAAGCTGTCATCTGTTGCAAGAACCACGATTTAGGGTTTAGACTGCGAGAGTTCTGGGATTCAGGACAGGAGCTTCGGGTATACAGTCACGGGCCTTGAGGGCTTCGGATTTCAGCGCCCCAGCGGTATGAAGCTAAGGGTCAGCAGGTTGAGGTTTCCAGGTTCAGGGTGAAAACACCTTGGCGTCCCTAAAAGAGCGAAAGATAGCGAACGCATACAGCCCTTTAGAAGCCACCGTCGTAAGCCCTCCGGTGTTGATTTGTAAATTTGATTCTCCATAGAGCGTTCTGGAACGATTCCTTGTGCTGTGGGGTCATGAGGCATAGCCTTACGTACGATTAGGACGGCAGACTGCCAAACGGTGGCAGTGAACCGCTACCCAGAACCCTACCTAGATACTACTCCTTTGTGCACTGCACCTCTAGTGTCAGCTCCCTCGCGAGCCGCCTGTCTTGGACAGCTCTGGGCTGAGCTGTGTGAAGACCAATTCTGATGTTTGGTTTCACTACCCGAGCCCAAGCCTAGTTGCTTTCTGTTGAACATGTGTGGACTGTCGTTTCTCCTGTCGTGGAGGGAGGCCCAGTTGACGAGGTGCATCTTGTCTTGCTGCATCTCCGGGTTCTGTTTATTATGAACAGAGTAGAAAATGATATGAAGTTTCGTGGACCTGGCTACTGGAGGCGAGAGCCATAAGTATGCAAACTTACGACAAAGTTGACGCTCCGGGTGTTCATAGGAGCCCTCTGCACAAGCAGAACACTCCTCCCCGGCCTTCGACCCTTAAACATCAATTTGGTGGACGCCTGCGCACCAGGCAACACGGATTCACCGAATGATGTTGGTTTTCCCAGGCAGCACGGAATCCAACACTGTTGTTGCTAAACACCAATGCAGACTACAGGACTTCAGATTTGGATCCTATAGCTGCGGCTCCTACGTCACATTCCCTTGGAAACCTATAGGTGAACTCCGACGATGATGATGAGGTTGATCGTGATGATGACGGCGATGATGGTGGTGATGGTGATGGTGATGTTGGGGGTGACCGTTGTGCTGCTGCTGCTGCTGCTGCTGACGATGATGACGATGATGAAAAAGTCATGATGGCGTTTTTGAACATGATGACGACGAAGACGATGACGATTACGACAATGATGGTGATGATGTTGATGACGAACAGAAGGAGGAGGAGGAGCCGAAAACAGTGTAAAGTTCCGGGTGTGATGTTTAGGAATTCAGTCCCCTTGCTGTTCGGCCAGCGTCGTCTCGTACCGCGGCGAGAAGTCGTCTGACGAATCCTTGGCAGAACTGTATGGCTTCTCAACGCGCAGAACTGTCCCTCATAACACGACGTGAAACGACAAAATACCTTAGGATTCGAAGGCTCCAAATTCGAAAATGAAAACCTGAACCCAAAAGTCCCAAAAGAGCCAAGAAGCATCCGGCTTACCGAGGGATTTGACGAAGCCCAAGGCAAAGGCACCGGAGAAACCGTCCTCCGACCTTCGGGTGTCTTAGGGTTTAGGGTTTAGGGTTTAGGGAGGCGGAATTGGCTATCAGGGTTTGTATGGGACTTGAAAGGCATTATGGGGTGTCGGGTTTAGGGTTTAGGGTATCGGATTTAGGGATTGGGGTTTTGGGTTTAGGGATTAGGGGGTTTATTTAAAGTGTATTGGGATCTATAAAACCTTAACCCGAAATCGGCTGAAATGCAAGGAAAGAACGCCCGAAAGGTATCCAACAGCGAAAGCTATGTCGGTTAAGATAGTCTGGGTTCTGCTTCAGGGATTTAATTCAAGTTATCAGAACAAAGAAACCATAATATGACTCTAAATCCCTATTACGGTAACCTAAACTGAATCCGTTCACAAGAACCCAGTAGTGGATGCTTGAAAAGAGCTCTGTTTGAGGATCATTGACTTGGGCCGGAAGTCTATGTATTCATGAAGGCGGGTTTAGGTGTACAGCCAAGTAGTTGTAGCAGCCCGCCGTCAAGGTGCCATACACTAGCCATGTAACTTCAGAAGTTACGTTCTTCTGTTTCATGCAAGGAGCTTCAGCATTAAGGATTACAGAGATTAGGGCATGGCGACCGTGTTTTCGGGCTTGGGTGCTGAGGGATTTCAGGGCTATTGGCTTTAGGGTGTGCAAGGTGTTGGGGTATCTGGATCGGGTCTACGGTGTGGAAACCCGGCTTAGCAAGCTCAGCAGCAGCATCAGTTCCTGCACGTGCAGCAGCATTGTCAGAAGTAGGGGTGGTTGATCGTGGGTGCTTCGGAGCATCTGCGTGTTCTTTCGTTGAGAGTAAAGAGAATGGATTTCAGCGGCACCACTCGCGGACAAGGCGCTGCTTGCAGTGGGCGAAGGCAAAGGCATTGAGTCTCAGCTCTTCTTCCCCGCGGTAGTTTTGGATGAACTTCGAAGCTTAGTCGGACGTGGTGGTGAACACACGATGCTGGGCAAGTGGGGAACAGGATTTGGGTTGTTTAAGGCATACGGGGTTTTTAGTACTTACTTAGACCTACACTAGCCAAGGTACTCATAGCTGTGTTTCGATAGTTTTCAGGCGGCTCTACTCGAAGGATCAGGGGACATAGGTACAAGCACGGACATGAGTAAGGCAAGCCTTATTCTATCTTAACTACCCGGCTCCCGATTCAGGCATGTACACCATCCATATAAAGTAAACAGTATAACCAATAGAAGCAGAGCAACAATTGGGGGTGCAGCTCATAAGTCCAAAGCCCCCCTCCGAAGGAAAGTGCATTCAGAGGGGTACCCTTTGCAAGACGTCGCGTCTTCGTTTACAAACATCAACTGCTGAAGTAACTACTGAGCAAATTAAAGTACAACAAGTTGGGGACCTGCAAACGGAAAGGAAACCTCCTACGAGATTGGAGGAAGACTCACACTCCTTTTTGCCGTTCTAAGCTCCGGATTGCATGGATATATAGCTAGATGGATCCCTGGGCAAATAGACCCATTGATTGGTTGATTGAGTCGGTTGATTCAGAAAAACGTAGAAAAGTAGACATCATATTCACAAGGTAAACAGCTTGAAAGATAGAACCTACGACAGAAAACATAACGACGGATACAATAACATATAGACGGTGACAGATAGACAAACGGATGAACAGATGCTTAGATCGATGGGTCGATGTATTCTCTAAATCAGGCAGAACCCTGACAACAGCACCATTTTAGGGTTTAGGGTTTAGGGTTTAGGGTTTAGGGTTATCTTGAAGTGAGGACTACAACAAAGGCGAGTAATTCTGCAATCACGGCCGTGGAAGAGTACTGTAAGGGGTAAAGATCACTCTACTCCCAAAACAAGACAACTTTGGATTGCCTTGATTGAAAGTACAGCAACAGCTGCAAAATGTAAAAGCCCAGAGGCAAACCTCACGACCCGGGGTCGCTACTGGAGCAATCCCGCCACGAAATTTAATAGAGGACCCCAGTGCGAAACCATGAACAAAAGGGCCTTCAGGAGCTGATGGCAGGATCCTTAGGTTTAGGGTTTAGGGTTTAGGGTTCAGGGTTTAGGGTTTAGGGTTTGGGGTTTAGCTTACTATATACAAGGAGCCACCTATCAAGACAAACACACATATTAGCCGCAGCACTGGCCGTTTGTGTCTCAAAGGTCACACAGTGCCGGTTCCTCTTGCTCAAGACTCCCTTCCTGGATCTGGCTTGGGACTGGAACTTTGGAGTTTGGAGTGTTCAGGGTGTAATGGACCTCCCTGAACCCCGAATGCAAACAAATCCCGCCTACCGACAATGTAGCTGGCTGTAGCCTGTTTCTTCTTTATCTTCTTATTCTTGTGCATGTGTTGTTGCACGGCTGGAGGCTTTAAGGTCTCGGCTAGCACAGGACACCATTTTAAGGTATCGAACCTCACATGTTCACTCTAAGTGTAACTCCCAAAGCACTGAGCCCGGTGCATGGTTTGCCCCGTCTTGTGCGGGAACTCGTTTTCTTTTTCAATGAGGCTTCTTAAGCAGAGCCCACAGAAACAGTTACTGAAGGAATGTGCCTCAGATGTTCTCAGCACCTCTAACCAGGACTCATCAACACAGGCTCAGAATCAAACATTTGATGTCACACTTCAACCCATCTTCCTTTTGTTGACTTTGGTGACTAGGACATGTAGCTGAGCTGCTGCAAAGCTATGGCCCATGGGCTCTCATCTTCATGAACATGAAACATTGAACACACTTCCAAAAGCCAGGACCAACGAAGCTCACTCTTTGCGACAAATAATGCGAATGTAGACCCAAGAACGGAGAGTGTGAAGCTCTCCCATTGGCTATGTTACAACATTTCAAGCAGCGGAAACCCCTCATGGCATGGAAGTTCTATGCTAGAGATTTGGGTCAACAACTCGTGAATTAGAGAGAAACCGAGGATACACTTCAGGCGCGGCACAGCTTGTGACAGGCATGCTGCAGGTGAACAAACAGGCTGCCCTCGTAATGGTTGGACAGTGCCTGTCACCAAGCAAAGCGCAGTTCAACCGGGGCGAGTACTTGCTAGTATCCTAAGTCTTAAGCAGGAACCCAAATTCTCACCGTATTCCTGAGGTACCCTATGCACAGAAACCCCCAACCAGTCTTCTGCCAACATAGACCCCGAACAAGGAAAGACTGCCCATGGCACCCGAAGCCCTGCATAACTTCTGAGTGCAAGATACGCATGCACTAGCTGCTAGCTAGGGCACGCGATGGCACCCCAAACACGCACGCAGTGTGCAGGAACACGGCTTTGGACGAAGAAGCACGGATCGCAACTAAAATGCAAACGGGATTGTGGTGAGAGCACACTCCGGGAAGCAGTAGAAGGGAAGAGTAGATAACCACTACTGACACGGACACAATAGTAATTGTGCTCGTTGGAGTTGCATGATGCAAAAACGACAGTTTACGACAAGTACCGCGATTGTGTCGAAGTGAACAGGAACACGGCTGAGTCTCTGCCGTAGAGCATATGAGGACTGCTGCTGCTGCTGCTCCCTGGAGCTGCTACGAATGCTAACAATACTACCGGGGTGCTACGGCACCTCTAGTATGCTCTGACTTTCACGAACACTACCACTGCCCTGCTTACTTGTACGGCAGCTCGATAGAGTCATACAGGAAGATGCAAGCGACCCGAGTTTTGGGTTCGGGCGCAAAAAAGGTTTCAAGCTCGCCCGAGATGAGCTGTAGAAGATCGGATTCCAGGCAATCGTCTGAGAAGGATGCAACAGTAGCTTTTCGGAATCCCGCTAACAAGAAACACAGGAAACGCGACACCTGAAGACCTGCAGCTGTTCTGTGCCCTTCAATGTAGTCCATGGTTCGGATCTCATACAACCAGGAGTTCAGATGAGTTCTTGAACTGGCCATTTTGGTCCAACTTTCTGTCCAGTGGTTTAGCTCTGTTTTTGGGAGGGAACACCCCGCAAACCTTCAAGCGATAACCGTAGATCTCAAATCCTTAGAAACCCTGCAGAATCCCGTTCAGGATCCACCCAAGGCCCAACCTTCTTGATACTCTGCTTGCTGGACTCCTCTCAGGTCGTTTGTTCTGCTAGCCAAACCCTAAACGTCCAGTACCTCAGAATCATATGGCGTAGGGATGAGTGCAACTAGGGCTGCTGACTCCACATCGTCGTGGGAACCATCAGCGCCGTTTGGAAACGAAGGGACTTGTGATGTGTCAAAGACTCTGGGGGTTTCCGAAAATAGCGGACCTAATATAGTACCCTAAATAGCAGGATCCTTTGTTATAAGGACCCCAAACTAATGCACCCCCCTATTTTCGAAAACTCTCACTCTGGCTTTTGAAGGCTGTCCCTTCAAACCGAAATGCTCACACGGAGCCCTCGCAACAGAGGCCAACTGTATTAGCAGAGCTCTGCAAGGCTGTGCTACATATCCCTCCCAAAACCCTGGACTCCCTCGACCTTATATGAACCTCAACCCTATACCCCCAAACAACACCCCAACCCGCTGAACCCCCCGACCGAAGCGGTCAGAGGTTCCTATTCGGATTCCTCCATTCCCCAACTCTTAATCCCTTGCCCAATGACCCGCCCGCCCCCCGGTGAGATGTAACCGGGGCGTGTATCCCCTCGCAAGGCGTACAGGAACACTGGCAGCGCAGCTGTCTCTTTTAACTACAGGCGCACAGCTGTAGATCAGTACTCTGCTAGAACCTTGAGCCACAAGCATGGATACATGCAAGTGATACGTGAAACAGGCAGTTTCAACAGGCACAAATGCAAAATCACGTAAACGAGCATGACCGTGAATTCGGCATTCGACATTGCCTGTTATTGGCCAAGAACGAATTATTAGCGGAGTGACATTGAGCTACAATGAATCTTTGCTAAAAGTTGCCCACATACCAGTTACCTCTCCGATGGAAAGCATACTGGATAAAAACTGCAGAGCATAGCTCCACATGTTGCCAGAGATGGCATTGCTGCTAAAATGTTGACAGAGTATCTTTTCCTGTGAAAAATTTCTCTTTTGTCATTGGCAAAGGTATAAGAAGTTCCCCTTCCTGTGAAAGGCATCTTCTTAATCAAGAAATGGAAATCGCACTACACTAGGATACCTTCCCCTGTGGGAAGCATTCCTTAAAGCACTCAGTCCACATTCTCGATATCGTGGTCCCAACTCCGAACCTGAGGGCACAAGGAGAGGATTGTCGACGGTAGTCTTTGTCGTGCAAAAGATCTCGAGGTAGACCTGACGGAGCTCATTCAGGCGGTAGTCGGCGAGCACGCGGTTCCTATGTGCCATCAATGATGTCAACACCGCTCGCTGATCCTGCGTGAGGTCGGACAGGGACACAAAGATGAGGGCCACAAGGTTGGCCGTGATGGGAATCGTACGTCGCCTGCTTGTTGGGTAGGCCTTCCTGTTCTTCCGGTGGTAATCCTGCTACGAATGCTCTGACCTCTACGTTGTCGGGATCGGTGATCGGAAGGTAAGTGTCGTTCCACGCTTCTTGCATCCT